CGTGCATATGTCCCATATAATGTGTGATGTATGAGTGAAGTTTGAACTTAATCGGTCCATGTATGTTTGAGATACAGGTGATCACGGACGGACGGACGGAAGGACGGACGCACACAGGGCAAAACATAAGTCCCCGTTTTCGGACTACGTCCGAACGGGGACTAACTAACCAAAAGGGTAACAGGTATATATTGTAACCTATTTAAACATTTTTATATGAATTAGCATTATTTTATAATATTTCCACAAAAACAATATGGTGATTGTTTTGATGGTGTGCCTTGGAGGTCAATGAGATCCCATTTTGCCTGAGTACATACTTTCTCATCTTAAACAATATTTTTTCTTTCTTGTACTCATAATTTCATAATCGTCAAAAATACCAGTGAATGACATTTTACAAGATTCATATACTTGTGCTGCCATTCATTGATGTGATTCCTTTCCCATCATGCACCACATCATTGATGCGCCAAATGTAAACATAGAAGAAGAAGTAATGTAAATGTAGCGGACATTTTCCATATGAGGAAAACGTCTGTAACACATCCAAACATGTCTGTAACAATTTTGAACAGAATTTAACAATTAGCCACGCCCTTTCCACACTGAATTAAACCATTACAAGTATAGTTTAGATCTTCTAGCAAGTATTATTGGATTTAAAATAAATTTTTCATTCAAGTTCAAATCAGTAAATTTTAAAGAGACTAAAGTCATAAACCTCTCTTTCTAATGTCTATGCTCCAATAGTGAAGTATATGATTTGAATAAAGAATGTTTACAAAGACAAACAGACCCTGACATGGGGTGTCCACTGAAGCATGAAATTATATGTTAGGGAATCCTGTATACCCCCATGGAATAAAGACGAGCAATTTGACCCTTGACCTGGTGATATCCATCAAGGAAATTGTCAGGCTAGCAGTATTAAAGATAGATATCAGAGAACAAGGTGTCCATGTACTAGGCATTGGAATGAGTTCTTATACAATGTATGGATGATCGGTTTTTATTAAGAGTTACACTGAATATCTAAAGATGGCTGTCAAGTGTTGATATAGCCAGTCCTTCCAAGGAAGAGAGGCATACATGTTTAAAGGTATACTGGACCTAAGGATTGCCGGTGAAACATGGTACAAAATACATGTAGACCTTCAAAATACAGTAAAACTCATTTTGGATAAGCTACTGTTAATTTAACATTACACTGAATATCTAAAGATGGCTGTCAAGTGTTGATATAGCCAGTCCTTCCAAGGGAGAGAGGCATACATGTTTAAAGGTATACTGGACCTAAGGATTGCCGGTGAAACATGGTACAAAATACATGTAGACCTTCAAAATACAGTAAAACTCATCTGGAATAAGCTACTGTTAATTCAACATTTTTTAATGGAACTCAAATCTAGCAAATGGGAAATTATGTCCATTGTGTCAAGAATTATCAAAGTAATTATAGAAATATACATATAAACATATTACACCAAAATATGGTACGAGGGTTAAGGATTGGGTATGGTGTTATTTATTCGTTTGTCTTCGTCAAATGTAATCTACATTTACTGGGGTATTACATTAGAATTGATCAATGCATGATCTGTTGATCTTTGACACATTATGTCAGGTTTTCAATACTAACACATGTATTATTGACAACCTGCCACCTTCATTTTAATATTAGTCATGTATATCAATGACATGAGAAATGATGAAAATACTCATCACGTAACACACACTATCACGTTCACGCAAAAATAAAAGGATATGGAGGCAAATTTCTAACTTCCGTTCGCTGCACCACTACGTTTGTACCAACATCGTATCGTAGACCTTTCTGATTTAGAAAATGTGCAACTAACGGACTCTGAGAGTGAACGTTAAACATTGTCTTGATAAAATCCGGTCCTTTGCAGGCTGGATGCGACTGAAATAAAAAAAGACATCAAAGATGGTACAAGTAATCATCTCGATCTTTGATCATTTCACCTGCCACGGACAGAAATCATCTATAAAATGTGAACTAGAATAGGATTATAAAAAGACACTTATGATCGCAACATTGTAATAACAAGAATAGATCATGTGCATGTGAAATGAAGGTACCGGTAGTATAAGTACTGTACGAATCACCCACTAAGATTTCCTGACAGCAAACCATGAATCAAAATCTTAGGAATGGTAAATTCCACTTTTATCGAGGAATACACTATACCACCTCCAAAATAAGACTTCAAGAAGTTTCTTAGTGGGTGTCTATAACGTAACTCTTACACACCTGCATATCGCTATATCTCTTGGGAATAAAAATTTGACGTTGCAACATGTTTTGATTGTAAATGTGATGGATGACAGAAGATTGAAAATATGGTTACCGTAGTTACTTTCATAATCCATCAAAGTACATGATAAAACATACATACATAGATGACTATCAGTAATACGGAATGATTAACATATTATAGCGAATAAATTATGCTAAGCAGCAGATGTTTGCACAGTTGTAAATATTTCACAAAATAAACCTGTTTCTTATCAGTTTGTTAAAAAGCTATAAAAAATAATTATTCTTAACTAATCGACCAAGAACAATTTAACAGTCTGGGCCAGAATTACAAAATGCATTACTGTGACCCAAAAAAAGAATGGAACGACAATATTGAAATATTTGAGACACTGTTTTGCTAACAAAATACCGGTAACTATATGGCTCATAATGTAGCCATTGTTTCTCATACTGCAATATTGCCATTCCATTTATTCTTGCAATCACAGTAACAATAATTTTAATTAAATTTTAAAGAATATATTTTAGCTTACATGTGAATTCCATCAAGATATTAATTAGTAATGAGCCCATCTGCGTACTCATTAATTTTTCAATGGATATTTCTGCTGATAAATTAAATATGCTAACTAAATTAAATCCATGTGAACACTGAACTTATCATTTTACTGGAAAACCAGCGAGTGCATATCAAATATCAAAATATTAATGATAGTTCACCAATATAATTCATGACAGTAAACTATTTTTAACAACATTCAATCTATCATCAATAAGATGCACTTAAATCAAAGACTTTTGAAGGTAACTAATGTTTAAGAAGAGCACAAATGAAAAGTACTATACATGAAGCCAATATACACACTGTACTTTCAGACATGGTAAAAAGAGACAGCAAGAAAAACACGAAAACATTCTAGTTTCCAAGAGTCACTATAAATGAGTGAGAAGTGAGAAGATATGACATTACCTCCCTTTTCTTTGCTCCATCACTAAGCTGCCTCATTGCTGAGATTGAAGTGGCATGTGTCATGCTGGCGTATGACTGCTGGGTCAAGGCGCCACCACTCTTGCTACTTTTATTTAATTCCTTACCACTTGGTGATTCAAAACGGGTGATATGTCGAGGACTTTTAGTCAGCGAATTATTGCTGCTTCCATCGGGACTTCTATGAGGACTCTGGTACTTATGTGATTTGTTGCGATTCCTAGTGTACGTATCCATAGGCAGTGAAGTTTTTGGTGGTGGTTGGGGTCCACAAGTGCTTCCCCGAGCTCCTTTTGGAAGACGCCTGATATACAGAGACATTTCTTCAATATCTCCTTCACTGTGGAGATTTTCTGTTATTGGCGTCAATGCGTCAACACGCATTTTGCCATTGTCTTCAACTTTGTTCGCAGACATTTGCGGTTTTACAATGCGATGACGGTGGCGTGCCCTCATGCCTTGCGGTGATACCTGTTTTTGCAATTCCGCTGATCCTAAATCACTTTCTGATTGTTGACTGCCAGACGTAGAAGACTCGTAATAACCTCTCCCGTCTTTGGAATTACGTCGTTTCTGATAAGATCTACCATATTTATTTGACAACGCCACTGATGAAGAAGGACTGCCATCAGATAACACAGAAGTGCTATTGCTAGTGCGAGAACTCTCAGCGGAAATGAAATCAAAATCCAATAAATTGCCTTAAACAAAACAAATAAAAATAACCTGGTCATAAATTGGTATTAGGATAGAGTAATTATTATCAAGTGTGATTGTAATTTAAGATTACATATGCAAAGATAAGACTCCTATACATACGTACTCATTTAGCTCACCGCTAGAAGGCGATTACATAGCCAAGTTTGATTTCCAAAGCTGATTGTTCACTCAGCAGTAAAAATAAGAGTACAGTCTGCCCTGCCGTTTAATCATGCTGTATTAATAGAATTTGGAGACTGGTTGCACACAGCATACACTTGCAATTTGCACATAAACAAAAAAAATTCCAGAAGAAACAGTAGTAACATAGCCAAGCACAAAAATATTTATTATTAAATATAAATATAAAATTTAAAAATTCAAAAAGTTTAGAAAAAAACTCCTGTGTGCTGAGGGTATTGGATGCATTAAGTACAAATAATACTGTATTTAGTTCTGTATATTAGAAGCAATCTCCAACACAAAGTGCAAAAATTTGCATGCAAAACCATTGAAATATGTTTTATTTTGACAACAGACATGCATCTCATTTAAACTTGAGCAAATGTGCTTCTTAATAGAGCAAATACGGCATTTAGAAATATAATCAAGGTGGTTCCAAGTGGCTATGGTGTAACAATTATAAATATTTAATGAAATCATGACCATATTTTATGTATATGGTTTGTTACTGATGTTTTTTTATGTCTTTTAGAAAATTGGAAAAGATATAATTTGCCATATCATAATTGATGACATACATGAAACGTGGAAATTATGCATATTTTGTGTCATTACAAATAATTAAAAAAAAAAAATCTGCTTTTAAAAAGTGCTAACAAAATTCAGTTTTGCTTTAATACTGTGTTCTACGGAACAGTTCTAAGATACAATTTTGTTAACAGAATGCTGTTATAACACCATTGAATATGTAAATCAGTGATTCTTGGACTGTTAATTTCTTCAAGTCTACAGTAGACACAGCAATTAAATCAATTTAGATTATGTTTAAATCCAAGGAAATATCGGCGAGTTTTATTACAAAAGTCTTCCAATTCATGCTACATGTACTTGGAGAAAGTGACTACTTTTAGAATGCAAACAGTGAACATAAACTGTGTAATTTGAATTGTACCTGTAGGTGTGTAAATGATTGATCAATAAAATATAGAGCTCATGATTACGTTGTGCTGACTAATGTAATTGTCCACAATCATGCATGCATGTATAACAAGTAATTGTAAGCACATCAACTAAACAGTTTAATAAGAAATGGATACTATTCAGTTAAATTTCATTAAAAAAAAATATTATGTGAAAAATATTGGTTTAGGTGTGACTAATTACAAAAAGTAATCGCAAAGAATACATGAAAAGAAAATGGCTGCCAGTCGGCCATTTTGAATCAAATCTCCCTAAAAAATGAATTTGTGTCAGTATTCCACCATGTGTGCTTACTGTATAATCTTTAATTTAGGCGTCATTTTTCGAACATTTCAATCTTTCCTGATGCCTAAATTAGAGTCTGATTTAGGTTTTCCATAGTCATTGATGCTTATTCCAGAGTCTGATGTTTATAGTGCCTAGCGTGACTGGGTAAACTTTGTATTGACAATAAGCTGTTATCTGCGTAAAAAGTGATAAATGCTTCTTCAATGCTCAGTTTATTTTTCAAAATCAACTAATTTGTTGGTTTAAAAAAAATCATGCCAAAACCATAAACCACCAACAAATTAAAATGCAAACACAAGGCACTCATTATGTCTTGTTTTTGTAACAACTTTAACCCTTTGAGCACAACATTTTTTTTTCACACTTTCACTGATTTTGGACCGAAAAAACAAAATGTGACATTCCTGCTTGTTTTCAATCCAAAAATTTAAAATATTTACATTTTATGTGGAAAAGAGCTTGTATAAATATACTACAAATGGAACTATTTTGTGGATGGTACCTGAAGTTGACATTGGCACAGAAATCGTTAAACAAAATTGGTGTTTCAGAATATAACAGGTAGACCCATAAAAAT